ATTAATGTCGCGATCATCATCGCGAATCATCTCTCGCAAGATACAAGTTCTTAGACACAGGAATGGAAACCCACTTTCCATTCCTGTCTATCTGACCGACGGGCCAATAACGACATAGCATATAGGCATAGTTATTAGGTACCAGTTTACTATATAAACGGACCGCAGCCACAGTACTGGGGTCGTCAATTGTAGAACGAGTTCCTGACTGCTGCTGGCCTGATCCAACCTCTTTGCTATTGTGTGTGTGCGAGAAATAAAGAGAATAAAAGTCGATCTGCCGAATCTCAACCTGCCTCAAGTCGAGCCATTTATTTCCTCATCTCCTCATCTCATCTCATCTCCAAGTGACCCAGCTTCCTAGCCCCAGCGGGGTCATTGAAAGGGCTAAATCACATTTAGCACATTTCATTGGTACCCACGGCTACGTCGCCTTGTTAAGGTGAAAAGAACCACACCCCCTGTCGCCCTCATCTTCTCGACTTCAGTGTGACACCGTGTCACAAAAGGTGAGTAAAATTTTCATGACTTCTTAAATTCCCCCACTCTCCCCATCTCCACCATTTGCCGTCCCGCCATTGGTCCCCAACCGAATCTTCCACTTGTCTCCACAAACTTTTCAGTGAATTCGTTGCCGAGCGCAACCCGTGCCATTAGTATAGTATTGAGATTCTTGTGAGCCATATGGATGGACCCACGGGATCCCTATCCGCTTAGGTCCTTAGGACCAGTGCCTGATCACATTAGTTTCCACGCCCAACAATCTGCGGCTCGCGTCGAGCGCAGACTCTCCCCTCCCGCCGACATAAGTTCCGCATCAATTTACCACCACCCTTCATCTAGCATCTTAACTGATCCCGCACCCCAATCCTTACCCCCCTTGACCTCTCTCCGGTCGCAAACCGCCCTTAGACCGCATAATTGACACCCCGGCGCACCCCGTAGGCCACCATCAACGCACAATTCAACCTCGTCGCCTCGATTTCTTAGCTTCCCCCGCACTGCCATTTTCCGACCCGGCTCCTCCACCCTCTTCATATCCAATTGCTCTTTGGCAACCCCAGCGTAACATCCCTCAGGCTATTTCATCTATCCGAAAACGTAAAACAGACGAACCTCTCTATCATCCAAGTTACCAGTTTGCACGAGCCGGAACTTCACCAAACGGTACATTTGTTGAATCTCCTCCACGTTATTCTTTAGACCAGCTTTCTCGCCGTGATCGCATCGTTGAGGAGGCTTTACCAATTCGTTGCAAATATTACGAGTCTCAGGCCACTGACCCTTGCATTCTTCTCCCTGATCCACGTTCTCCTTCCACTTATCGTCGACCTATCACGACATACGATCCACTTTTCCATCCGGCACGCCCAGTTGACCCCTTTATCTCGGCAGACGCATCAGCTTTTTCATCTCATATTACCCCGGCAGTGGCCCACAACCCTGTCTCGCATAATTTTGGTCCCACGGCCCTTGAGCAATTTCTTCAACCAGTCATCAACTTTCCACTTTCAACATCGGCACCTCGCCAAAACGAGGTTGTTGCGCCACATCCCCTCCAACAGGTTACCAACTTTCCAATTCCAACCTCTTCCCACCTGAGCGAAATTGTTGCACCACCACCTCAGAAGAACGAGGTCGTTGCTACACCGACTAACGATATCACGTTGGGCCAAAGACGTTCACCCCAAAAAGAGTCTCCTACCTCATCTAACTCACCTCTCTCCTCTGACTCCGATAGCCCAAATCCGGTTACAGGTACATTGCCCCCAATTCAAGCTTTCGCAACTCAACCACCTGCGGCTCCAATCTCTGCTAATTTTTTTATCAAACCCAGTATTTTGAACCCTGCTCCTTTTCAACCAACGCCCATACCCAACGCGTTTCATCAACCACCACCTTCTGCTCCGCCCCACGTCTCGGCCATCGAGATAGACCAAACCTTTCAGAACCACGAGAACTTGCCTCCCAACCCCTCAACTTGCATCGGGGCCACCACTTCTTTAGCCCCTGCTCCCACTGCCTCGGCAGTGGTTGCACCTGCTCTTCCCCCTTCTATCCCTTATCCGCCCCCGTTACCTGCACCTCTTGTGCCATTTTCACAACCAGTGCATCGTTCTCAATCTCTAACATCGGTTAACTCCTCTCTTGCCTCTAGCATCACCCACAGTTCTTCTGATTGGTCGATCTATTCGGCCTATAATCCACTTTTTTCTACATACGACACGGATGATCCCAATTTTTACGTCATTCAGGCATCCCACCCGGCTAACGACCACCATACCTCTTCCTACCCAGCTCCACCACCAAGTGGTTCTGTCCCCCAACGTTTCACACGTATAACTACAGCCATCACAACCATTCCGCTACCCTCCCCCTCTGCCGACAACTATACTCCAACTATACTCCTTATGCAAACCCCTTCGACCCCTCTCCCTCTGAATTAAACGGTGACGGTGGTGTCATTGTACCATCTGAATCCGAACTTCTCCCTCTTTTTCCTTCCCCTGTCATCCCTTGGGACACCGACAAATTTATTTGGGCCTTCGATTCTAACTTCAACCGCTGGGAACCTACTACCACTGATAGCCATCTTTATATCGACGCCTTTGCTCCAACCCTCAACCCCTTTACTCATCACTTGGTACCCAAAAAACGCGTTCACATTCCTACTGATATTGCCCATAAACCTCCACTCGTTAGTTTTGACGCCACCCGTTATCTTTTACACGCAACCAGGCTCCCTCAGTGGGAGCCTGGTTGCGTGTAGGTGGGTATTCCTCTTTATCCCGGCGCAGCTCCACCCGTCTCTTATACATCTAATCTTGCCCCTAGTGGCCGACCCCAACTTTATCCATCTCTCCCGGCCCTCTCGCGCTCCCGTTCACTTTCTGCCTCCACCCTGAGCCGCTCTCGCTCTCTTTCCCCTCAGACTCCACTTACTGCAATTCCCGTTCCCCGACAGCAACCAATTTTCCTCTTTCCTCCAATCAATCCGGCTCCCATCCTGCGGTCGGGATGATGGGCAATCTCCCACCCACGGGTGGCGCACCACCCCCTTATTCTCAAACGACAGGTGGAGGTGGTCCTGCACACCCCCCACCTTCCGGAGGTTCCAATCCTCCACCCAGCGGTTCTCATCCTCTCCCAGGGGGTCCTCACCATCACCCCGGAGGGTCTCATCCCCCTCCTGGAGGCTCACATCCTCCTCCGGGTAGTGGAGCACCTCCTCCCCTGGTCCTACTCATATCCCCCACGCTGGCGGAACCGGTGGCGGTGGCTCCGCCACCGCCACCGGTTTGAAGAACCGCACCCCCTGTCTTCCCCCCCCCCATCCCCACATCGGTGTGACGGACTGTCACCCAGGTACGAAATAAACTTTTTAATACATTCTTAAATTACTCCACCCTCCCCATCTCCACCATTTGTCGCCCCACCATCCATCAACCATCAGACCACTTCTCCCTACCGACCATACGTCTCCCTTTTTAGGATATTTCCAAACAGAACAGAAAATTATTTAAGAATAAAGTCCGGAAGATAGAAAAAGCGAGGTGAGAGGTTGTCCCACTTCTCCCAAGTTCGCTCCCTCAGAACATTGCAGTTTCATGAAGACGCTAAGCCCCGACTTTACAGCGGGATGAATTTTTATAGGCTAGAGTACCCCCCCCCCCTTTTTGTCCGCCAGTGAGCCGACCTTTATGCATGCACATACAGCCGTTGAGCGAAGATATGCCAGAGTAACCCCCCTTTTGTCCGCCAGTGAGCCGACCTTTATGCATGCACATACAGCCGTTGAGCGAAGATAGGCCAGAGTAACCCCCCTTTTGTCCGCCAGTGAGCCGACCTTTATGCATGCACATACCGCCGTTGAGCGAAGATAGGCCAGAGTAACCCCCCTTTTGTCCGCCAGTGAGCCGACGTTTACGCATACACATACCGCCGTCGAGCGATGATAGGCCAGAGTAGCCCACTTTTGTCTGCCAGACACTCAGGGCAAGGTATATTATTCAACGGTAAAACGCCGTATCATAATAATTTTGGCAACAGAGGAGACTCTCCTCCTCACGAGGGCCAGAATGCCCAACAATATATTTTCGATAGCATAGGAGATGTAGGAAATATAAGTGCAGAACCCCCAATCTGCCAATTACCATAGGAAATATAAGTGCAGAAACCCCAATCTGCCTCCGAAATAATATTAATGATAATAGAAAATATAGAACCCTCCATTATTGCCAACGTAATCATAATAATGATACAAGGAAATCTCAGGATGGTAAACTCATGCATATGCTGGAGATGGGGGAGATTGTCATCAACACCTTCAACAACATAACAACTACTAGCCATGCAAAAACACTATATAACCGCTATTTAATAATTCATAATCCCGACCCGATAATACCCCCATTCCACCGGACCTTCGTATAATTGCTCCAACGATCATGGTATCCTATAGAGATAAACAGTTCCAATGTTAGTTATTCAGTATAGGACGGGGCTGGAATGATGTGATTGGCTGGTTCGCAGTTCAAATTTCTCCATGTATTTTTGATGCCGCATAAATGAAGCCGTAGCACTCGCTGCGCACCATCCGTCTCACTTTACCCTTTACCATCTCTTCTCATCACACTTTATATTTTACGTCCCAGAACAAAAAAACAGTTTTTCGTGCTTCGGTGTCTACCACACCCACCCACCATCATCAATTATTAAGTAAGTTTAACGACAAGATATGTCAGAGCAGTTTTACAACCATGCTCAGGATTTAATGTGACTTAATTTTTGTACAGATTTTCGTCATCTCGAATGGAGAATTTTTGCGACTTTCTAAGTTCGAATAATTAATTAAAAACTGAAAGTTGTTGTGATGCAGATTTACAACCAAATTTATTGCAACAAAAATTGATTTAGTATAAATACAATTTTACTTTAATTTTACAAACATCGAAATAATTTCCCGGTTGCAAAATATTGTATTATAAATAGTAGCAATAATTTTCGTGCCTTGAGTATATAAGGAAAATGGAAACAGTTGAATGTGGTTCTGGTTCTTCTACTTCAAACTGTAGTGAAACTTATTTCTAATCTTTATCTTCTTGTTCATATAAAGGATAAATTAACCCACCCCCCTTTCCGTGGAGACACAGACAATGGTGAAGACACAAATGGGGTGGAGAGGTCGGTAAAACTCTTTGAGAAATTTCTTGAAGGTGGCTAAAAGTGTTTGCTGCAAACGACAGTTTTAGGTGATACGTTTTCCTTATCGATGTCGAGAATTTTACACCACTGCTGGAACCTTTAAAAAAACTAAAATTAGCTATCAGAGGAAAAAAGAATGAGAGAAATGAGTTATTTTGCATCGGAAGTTGTACCTGACGCTTTGGCAGAAAGGAGTAATTACGATTTTCTTGGTTTCAAGAATTATCACAATTAGTACCGCAACACTTTATATTTCGGACCGTGACAAACGACGGTTTATTAAATTCAAATAAATGTTTTGAGCAACTGGATTTCCTGCGAAAAATAACAAGCAATTAGTAATTTGAAACCTGCTTGAAACAAATAACGTGTTTTCACCATATTTATGTGTCTCCACCGTTAATTGTTTATTTTAAGAAGATTTTGAAGAAGGTTTTGATAAAGTCACACTGAATTTGAGTACATGAAGGCGAATCAGTAATTAAAATGAACGTGTTTCCACCATATACATGTGTGTGTCCACCGTTCGTTGCTTTTTTAATTTTTGGAGATAAGAAACTATTATTTTAATATTATGGTTGAACCTGGTAAACTTTACTGACGTTCCTGAGAATTTCACACTATTTCCGAGTCACGAACAAGGTCTCATAGTAATTGATGAGTCTGTAATTAAACAAAATAACAAGGAAATATTGATGTAACAGTTGCTTGCAATAATGAACGTGTTTCCACCATATTAATGTGTCTCCACCGTTCATTATTCTTTTAATTCTAGAGGAAAGAAACTATTTTTAAGATCAAAATAAAATTTACCTTAAGCGAAGTTTTGAAAGTTTTTTAATAGTCTTGACAAAGTCACATTGATTTAAGTACCCTTGTTTGGCCAAATAGGTGAACCTGTAATAAAATTAATACATTTTAGTTATCGACTGCTCATTGGTAGCGAAAGAGTGGGTGTGAAGATATAATTTGAATTTGCTTTGTATAAACGCACACTGATAGATCAGATAAATTGACCGGTGGAGACACGGATCTGGTGGAGGAAGGGGCAATAGGTCACAATATTGAGTAACAATTGGCACAAATATTATATCTGCAATTCACAAAAATAAATTTAGTGGAACTTAATTTCCAACAATGAGCGTGTTTTCACCATACATAATTGTACATATATGTGTATTCACCGTTCATTATATGAGAAACTATTTTTGAATCTTGTAAAACTTTAACGAAGTTTCCGACAAGTTCACACTGTTACCAGGTCACGAACAACAACTAATGGTAATTGATGAGTCTATACTTCAATACAATATAGTGCATTACGAAATACAAGTTCCTTGGTCCTTATTGTTGCAGAATCCAGTTAAAGTTGTTATTTACCAGGTTGGCCGGCGATGACACAGATTTCTGGTGGGGGCACGGCAGAGAGGTCGCAAAATTAATGGATGAAAAATTGTCCTTAGCAGTTACCTGTACCAATAAATCGCAATAAATTAACATCCAAATCACTCGTAAAAATGAACGTGTCACCACCATATTTGTGTCCCCACCGTTCATTGTTGAAAGAAAATAGTAATTCTTTTACTACTTACCGAGAGTTGAAGCTTAGAGCTTAACTTGTGGTGAGTTGAAGCGATTTATGTAATTGAGTGGATGTCAGAAAATTAATTTGTAGGATATTAAATAATCTTTTAATTACTCAGCTTTTCCGAGTTTGGCAGCAAGAATGATGGTAAAGGAGACACCTGATTTTGGTTCCAAGAAAGGAGTGAGATTTCCAAGTAATGGGGAAATTGAGATTGGGAAAAATTGAGTTGTGCCACGGCCCTGTTTTTATGGGCGGATGCCCATAAAAACCGTCAGCCAATCACAGCATTTGAAACCCCATTTCCCTATACTGAAACAATAACCATATCTTCATCCTTCTATTAGTGATCTGTATTCGCTGTAATTGCTCCATTACCAGGTTTAACTCGAGTTCACGGAACTCTTCGTCTAGTTTACATTTTTTCAGATCCCAGACCGCCATTCTCCCCAGGCCGGCGTATATCCCAAAAGCAACCTTGTACCGTTAATCAATTCAATCATTAGTACCTGATTGTTAACCCCCCTAACGTCATTAATTTTTCGGGGCACATCCAAACGATTATCCCCAATTCATTTTTATACCCCAACCACACAATTAAAACATTACAAGAAAATATAAAAATACATGAGAACAACATTAGTTACAGATATAGTCAATGTACATTCCTGTCTGGCACACGATAGTGTATTATACAGTATGTACAATCTCGATTACGATAAGTTTAGCTCATATACACATTGGTTAGATTTCTAGGTACACATTTATAGGCACAACTCTCTGTAATTACTTAATTTTTATGAGAAATTTCGGCCCTTCTATCGTCAAATTATGTATATCATTAGAATAACTTTAGACAGGATATTTGAAAACCCATCGTAGAATTCTTTTTGCATTTTTTAAATATACATTACCCATAATTAGACATCGACATTAGAGTCATTTTTTCAGTCCCTTAACTCAACCCTTCATAGCTACTTCTTATCTCCACGTCATTTCCTTACCCAAATTCAGTCTCCTTAACAATCAATATTTCAGGAACCAATTACTTGGCTCAGAAATTTGCTCGTTATATAGTTATACATTCTTCCTTAGTTATAAATACTAACCCCTAATTTCAAAAACTTGACAACCAACCCCACAGAACACCCCAAAGTCACCACGAATTTTCAAAAAAAAACTTGATTACGGACCCCGTCGAACTCTCCAAAGTCACCCCTACTTGACTACCCACTTCCTCGAACATTCCGGACTCACCCCGAACTTCAAAAAAACAAAAAAACAAAAAAAAAACTTGACTCCCATCACCGCCGAATCTTCCGGCGCACCTCCGGATTCACCCTGCATATATTGGTAAAGGTCCAACACGCTCCGGGACCCACACATACATACCAACACCGTCATACCCTCCGACATCTTCCCCGAAAAGTCCTACCTCAACTCGGCGCGCTCCCATATTCATTCTGGAGATATGATGACCTCCTATACTAAACTCCGACACTCGGCCTACTCCGCAACACATACCCCCTGGATCATATACTCTTCTTCATTAACCCCACCATCATAAATTTCTCAATTCCTAACTCCTGAGTCACCCTGACGGCATTGATAATTCCCACCCCACTTCTTGTTCCAGTCTGCCGACCTTTCTCCGACATTTGACACAATCCGACATTTCACACAAATCGTATGACTAAGTCATACGATTTAAGGTTGTGCCCACCTTTAAAACCCATAAAGGCAGTAAACAGCACAATACATAAGGCTTTTCACACTACTCCACAACCAACCAAACCAGCTATGGAAGCTCCATCATCAACGCCGCGTCAGAAGGAGCGATCCATGAAGCGATATGAACAGAGATTTCTCGCATAACCAAGCAAAAAAAAATTTTTTCAGAACCTTATTCACTAAGCTAAGAAGATCACGAATTTTCCGACCTCTACTAAAAAAAATACAAATAAATACAAATAAAAATAAAAGTCCTATGATCAAAAGAAAAAAAAAACCTTGCAAAATTCATTTTAAGGATGAAGTTAATAAATATGGTAATTTTAATATCAGTATATTTCCCTACTCTGTTAAGAAATAAAATCAAAAATTTATAACTATTATTAAAAATTAATATTTAATTTAGCTCTAGTAAAATTTTCTATATGCTCAAATTTGTCAACTAGAATAATTACTCTTTAATTTTAATATCGGTATATTGCCCAACTATGTTAAAATAACACTATTTTTAAAATCACTAATAATTGTAAACAACAATAATGCAGACCAAGCAAATCTCACATTTCATTCCTGGACCGGGGCCCGGTCTAAGAGAGCCAGATATTGTAAAGAACAGGTTTATTTTGTGAAAGTGATTGTTGCACATTGAGTGCAACACAATCAAGGAGAAGGTTTCCTTATGTGCAATCTTAATCAGATACATTTGTCATATTCTAGTTTTATATCGTGATCGCCTCTGGGCAGTGAGGCAATTATTGCAAGTCATCTCATTGTTATCTCTCTCACTCTCTCTTTCAATATGTAGGTTAGAAATAGGTATATCAACCATATATAAACAGCAGTCACGGCAGTACACGACAGCAATGGGAGAACAAGTCTTGGGGAGCCTGGGAGATGGGCTCAAGACGAGTCTTGTTGCTGCTGCTGCTGCTGCCCTTACCTCGCACAACCCTGCCAATCTGAATTGAATAAAAACTTGTCCAAATCAACATCTCAATCTGCCTCGAGAAACGTGTACATTATTTATCCCGATTTCCACCACACGGCCACAATGCTACGAGTGAGCCATATGTGGGGTCAATCTAGTGAACCCCCTTCGGGAGGATCATTACACCATAATAGCAGACACTAAATATAAATGACAGTGGATCCCTTTTTTAAAGCTACATCATGATTTTCTAGCGAGTTGCGTCAAAAAATAAAGCCAAAAATTAGGAATCCCTTAACACTTATCATTCCGTTGAATGTTCACTTTAAAGAAAAATATTGGGGGTCAAAATCCCCACAAGCGGTTTGGTTTTCGCCACGTGGGGGAAAAGTGAGAGAAAATGTATGCAAAAATTGAACTTTGCCGCCAACATTTTTCATGAAAAAGATAAGTGTCAGGTGACTCCAAGTTTGTTTGCTTAATTTTCTAGTTAACTTTCTAGAAACAATACCAAAGTAGGTGTTTTTCAATATATTTGCGAGATTAGAGAGATTTGCGAAGTCATATTTTGCGAATCCCCTCACGACAGAAATATTTTGATCTTCACAAGTTTGCTAAATGAGTTGCGATGCAAAATAAGAAGTTGTCGTGAGTACGCCCAATGTAAATTCCCCTTAATTCAAAGCATATCATTTTTAAAACTCTCCCTAAATTAGTAAATTCAAGATATTTGAATTCAAATTATTAAAAATTAAAAATATTTCAGTTCCCCCAATAATTAAAAATAATGCGGCTTAAATTCCCTTCAAAATTTGTCAACTTAAATCCCTCCAAAAAGTTAAAATATTTCAAAATTTCTCCCGAAAATTAAAAATAGTTAATTCAACCTAACCTCTTTCAAAAATTCTAAATATTTTAATTTCAATTACCCCTAATTTCAAAATATCAAAATATCACAGTCCCCCAAAAATTCGTCGCCAGCTCTTCTGCTACTACAAATCCGACAGTCCCTTCACCTTCCTGTCCCCCGTGGGGGTCGAGGTGCACTCCATTAAGCCAAGAATCCTTCAATTTTACGACATCGTTCGAAACACAACGATCCACCATATTTTAACGCGAAATGCCGCCACGCTTTCACGCGGCCGAGTTTTAGGCTCGCCGGAAGACAGAGACGTCAAAAGTGACGTGAGGACTTCCCAAGTCACGTGGCTTTACGATGAGGCTACCGATGAGAAAGTTAAGTATGCTAATTTGTATATATTTTAAATAGATTCGTGGTTCAATACTGCAAAAATTTTATGTTTGCCAATTTTAATGTGCGAATTTTTAAAATATAGAAGCCAAATCAAGTTTGGCATTGTGTGTAATTTTTCAGCACAATTTTTCTTAAAATTTGGAAATTCTTAATTATTCAAAATTATTTAATGTTGCACAATTTATAACGCTAATTACTAAAAAAGCGCAATTTATTACGCTAGTAATGCGTACTAAATTTCTGGCGATTTTCAATTTCATCTCAAAATCAAGCAATCTATTTTGAAATTTACAGAAATGCAATCTTCGGCTTCAAATCATAGAAGAGTATAGTTTTTATGCTATTTTTTATTTTCGCTCCACAATTTCTAGCGATAACAAATTCCATCAATTTTTTGGGTAGTAAGAGTAATTTCATGGCAAATTTCAAGCTATAAGTATAAGACTGATCCACAATTTTATGAAAAATTGCTTGCTAAATTACATTAATTAATCCAATTTTGGTAGGAGAATCCCCGCAATAATCGGAGATTTGACGGGATTGGACGCCCGGGCGGGATATACCGGAGTTGCAGCCTTCCAGCTACGGCGCAATCGGGGGGCATTACCAGCAACATTTCGACATCCTGTTTAACGATTCGGTTAGAAAAATACGGAGATTATTTAAATTAAGGAGACCTTGCAAAAAATATGTCACCGATTTCAAACCCGGTCATAAACAGAAGGCGGATATGCATTTAATTATTTTCAACTTTTTCATTTTATGCCGACCCACGGTTAAACTTTGCCGGTGTGTTTCCCATAACTTGCATAGATCACAAAAATTTGAAATTACTTCAAACTACACAATTTTTTTCATATTTCTAGGTTTTCAGACAAATATTCTGCTATTATTGAAAAAGGTCGAAAATCTATTTGATTAAAAAAATATATCAATATTTGGTAAATATTTCAACGATGTGAGGCGAAATTTTTTTGCTCTAAGAAATTGGATCACAAAAAAACCAAGGAATTAAGTTCAATGATACGAATTTTTAGAAAATTCTTATTTTTTGTATGAATAATATTTTGCTATTTTTTAAATACAAATATTATATAAAAATTTCAGCAATTTTTCGTAAATGCGTAAATATCTGCCCTCTGATCAATAGGCATCCTATTTTTCTTGTTCTTTCATAACATGGAGGTCATTTAAAATCGATCCACTCTTGTTTAGGGTTCAACAAATTAATAAGTTGTGAATAATAATTGTTTTTTTTTCAATTTCAGCATATGCCCTTTATCCCGGAAAAGAACACTCAAAATAAGGTAGTAATGAAACATTACCATGTGGAATGACTATGTGGCTCTACCACGTCGGTTACGATTTGTCGTAGAAATGGTAATATAATTTCAGGGAAATTCAAATTCATTACCAAATATTAAGGAAGTGAATACCATTATGTATTAAATTTGAATTTCCCCGAACTTATTATTACCATCTCTACGACAAATCGTAACCGACGTGGTAGAGCCACATAGTCATTCCGCATGGTAATGATTCATTACTACCTTAGTTTGAGTGAATTAATTCGTGGCGACAGAATTGCAACGGTTATGTTCAGGCCCCGTGTTAGGTATAGGCGAGCTAGGCAACCGTCTAGGGCGCTAGAAATTTTGGGGGCGCCGAAAGGCGCCCCTATACACTAGATAAAAACAACTTTACGGAATTTTATATCTTGTCGTGAAAAACAACATAAATACGTATAAAAAACTTAGTTTCCCTGAAATGTGTGGTACAAAACTTTATTTGTTAGTATTGTTCACAAATTATTAGCTTGGAAATTCTGCCAGATGAACTTTTTTTGTAACATTTACATTTAGCAATTTCTTTGTAACATTTACAGTCAAAAAGGGTGGGCATCTTCCGATCTTGGCCGGACAAATTTTAAATTGGTCACACTCAGAAATAAGTGGACATATTTATAATTTTGCGCTTTCTTTAATGCGATTGTTTTCCCCGTGGTAGAATTTTTTAATAAATTTTCAGCCAACCTCTGGATTTTTTAAAACGCTTTAACGTATCGAATTTGAGTCAAATTAAAAAAATGGGTACAATTGTTGCTCAGATTTATTTCTCTGAAATTATGAAAATTCATGTCCAAAAAACCGATGTTTTTTTAATTTTTGTTTTTTGCGTCTTTAATTTTTGTTTTTTGCGTCTTTAATTTTAGCAACTCGGCAAAATTGGTAGCATGAAAATTTCAAATATAATTTCAAAATTAAAATTAAAAATCTCAGGAAAGTAATTGTACAAAGTAAGTAAGAATTGTGCTTAATTTTTTAAATCTGGTAAAATTGGAAAAACGACGGCCTTTTGAAAATCCCGATTTTGGCTGTAAAGTTAAAGAGGGTCCACTAACGTCGCGGACTGATGTAATAAAATGCTCAGAACTTTATACACAGTTAATGCAATTTCAAAAAAATTGCATATGTTTACAACCAAAGGGTTTGGATTGCCATACAGTTAAAATTTTAATGATTGAATTCCGCTATCTGCTACAGATTGCACTTTCTTCTTCAGATTTCGCGTCAAATTCCGCCCATAGGCTGCACCTACTTTCAAGCTGATTTTCTTCCATCTGTTCATAAATTTTCGTAACGTGTCTGGCGTTTCTGAAAGCTTAGAATATTTGGATTTAGTCAGCGCCCAGAATTTCTCAATTGGTCGCAGTTGAAAATTTGGTGGGTTTCCATTTTTTGGCACAAATTCAATTTTTTTCAGATGTCGGTACTGAGTGACCTTTTTGGCGTCATGGGAAGTTGCGAGGTCAGGCCAAAGCAAAACTTTAGTTTGTTATGATCCTTGGTAATAAACGATTCCAATCCCCCTTTAATGCATGATTTAAGATAAACCCCCTGGTTTACAGTACCCTTCAAAATGACGGGATCGGAAACATGACCAATGCTAGACATGCGTTGCCAAATTCTTCATTTTTTTGGGAATTGGTCTTTCTTTTGGACTTGGTCTTCATATTTTACTTGATAGGGGTTGGAACTATGGAAAAAATGCCTTCCTGGAAGATTTGAAGGGTCAGCTGTGACGTGGGGCTCATTGTCCATGATGACCACGTTTCCCCGAATCTTCTTCAACAATTTCTTGCAGAACGCATGAATCCTTTCCTGTTGGTTTGTAATTCGGTGCTGGTTTTTTTGCCCTTGCTGTAATCCCTAGTTTATGGACTTCGATTTTGCTAAGATAGCTTTTTAAAATCTTGACCTTCCTTTCCGCTGCAGCCATTGTCATTGATGGATAATTTTTGAAGATTTTTTTTATCCGATTTTTGACTTTTGTCGTCGCTACCTTTACAGGTCGACCAGTGGGGACTTTGAATTTGAGTTCATTGGATTCCTCGTACTTTTTTATGTAAGAATTGACATTTGAATGAGGAATACCTTCTTGCTAGAAAAATTGCTAAGTGATTTTAGAATCATAGTTTGTTCGATTTTTATGAAACTCAATCACTCTTTTTTTCAACTCTTGCCTTTCAACTCAAGTTATTCTAGTCTTAGCCATGACTCAATAATTGGTGACATATATCAATGGAAAGCTTATAACTTGGTCTATTCAAAAATAATTTTTTCGAAATTTAATTTCGCTGTTTTCCCGCCTAGCGCGCCCTTTACGGGGAAGTCCGCGACGATAGTGGACCCTCTTTATTTTTAAATTCTGCCACATTCGAAAATACGCGCATTCTAAAACACGAGAAATATGTTTCCGCTTATTTCTGAGCATGACAATTTATTGTTAGTCTGGTCAAACTTGGAGTCCGTGTTTGACCAGATTAACATTAAATCTCTCCGAGTCTCGGAGATACGTATGTCCTATCTTACACGTCCCCATTGGTAGCATGATTTTAATTTTTAATAAGCAAATCCTCAAAAAGTGAGAAGTGTTAAAGAGGCCATAACAATATTCAATTATTTATTTCAGGAAATAAAAATATTTAACTAAGGTTATTAAAAATGCTGATTTTTTTAAAAAATTTACTTGTGTTGTATACATTAAAAGGAGAGTAATTTTTACATGTGGCAAAACTTATGGCAGGTAGTGCTCTCTTTTTGAAGATAACCCCACACTGCAAAATGAAAATTTGTGTACCATTAAAAGTGTTTAGAGCACCAATGGTTCGTGCAAATGGGGCGCCATAATGGTTTTGCCTAGGGCGCATTGCCTAGAACGGGGCCTGGTTATGTTTTACGTAAGAATTCCTCCTTGGTCAAAATTTTGGTAACAATTTTTTCGTGTCAAACACAAACGGAAAAAACGTTAGAAATCTGGTATAGTCACGCGGGTATTGATTTCTCGGTAGTAAAGTTAATACCACTTGGTATCAAATTAAATTATAGCGGCCGGTAAAAATTTATTACCGATATGGTAAAACTTAAATAACGCGCTATTACTACACGGTATTACTTATTACTATCACTTTAGTAGAGTCATATATAAAAACCGCTTGGTATTATTTTAATACTGGATTTCTAAGAGTGCACATTTAAGCAACTTTAAGATTAAGCAACTTTATTACTAGTTTTGTTCTAATGAAACGAAATTTATAGGTAACAAAGTTTTTCCCAAATCGTTACCATTTGACACTCCGTCAAGGCGGGAATTTCAAATTTATTACCTAGCTTAAAATTTATTTAAAAACGGTTCTTTACTTGTCCGTCGTGTAGGAATATTCAAATCGATTTGCTAGTTTTATTACCAGTGGAAAAGAAATTGAACAATGACAACGTTTTTACCAAATCGTTACCATTCGACACTCCGTCCAAGCGGGAATTTCAAATTTATTACCCATTCTGAAATTTAATTATGAAAAATACTGCATCTTTAGTTCTTCAAAGTAACGATGGGTGGCGGGATGGCGTTCCCTCGCGTCGGCGTCGCCACTCCGGCGGTCCGAAGATCGGCGGCATTTTGGTATAACCTCAAGAAAAATGGGCAACCTGACCCCTTATCGTTGCATGGCGGATGTCCGTTGGTCAATGGATCAAATGGGGTAAGTATTTTATCAATTTTTATCAAAATTTGAAAGAAATATGATAATTTTGACGAGTTTCTCAAATGTGCCTGACTTTATCTAATACTAATTTTTAAAGTTTATTCACAATTTTTTTCTCCGATGTTAAAGAATTGCAAAAATTAACCACTAGAGCGTCAAATTGAGTTTGTATTTATTTTATCAATTTTCGAGAAAATAAAAAAAAATATTTTTTTTACATTTGGACAAGTTTAATTTTACAAGAAATTTAATTCAATTTTTGATATGATATATACTTAAGTAGTCCCTAATTTTAGGAATAAACAGTTCTTATTAAGGACTGTTTGTTTGTTTCTTTTCCAACGTTAAACAATTGCTTTAACTTATTGCAAATTCTTTTAAAAAACTAAGTCTATTTTAATACTTAACTTGGAACTGTACATAATTTAGCATAAATTTGTATCAATTTATCAATTTTTTATTGCAAATTAAAAGAAAACTCATTATTATTTTTAATTTGGGTAAGTTTCTGAAGTTTCATTCTGTTTTGGATCTGATAATTACTTTAAGGACGGCTTATATTCATAACATTAGCATTCGTTACTGAATTACAAGATTTTTAATCACTTGAGCGTCAAATTAGAATTGTACACAATTTATCAATTTTGGTCAAAATTTGAGGGAAAACATTATATTTTCTTTTAATTTGGAAAAGTTTCTGAATTTTATTTTTGGCTTGACTTGAATCTGATAATTACTTTATTTATTCTTTCTCGTTAAAATTTTATTACTTTTTTTAGAATTTTACGATCTTTTTTATAAGAACTAGAGGATCAAATGGGGTATACTATTTAAGAATTTTCAAAAATTTTTATCGCTTAAAACTTTAATAATTTTATGAAATTCACGGTCGTTTCAACTGCATCTGATTATTACTTTAAGTATTATTTATCTCTAAAATTTTCGGTTTCAACGTTAAAGATTTACAATTTTATTTTCAATTTAATGGTTACAATTTTTTAAAAGCTTAAGCACCAAATGCGATATTTACATAATTATTTATTTTAGTCAAAATTTAAAAGAAAAATTCATATTTAATTTCAAATTTGGGTAAGTTTCTGAAATTTTGCACTGGGTTGTTATAAAGTTTTTAAAAGTTTGTTTTCATTTTTTTGACAATTTGCTGAAATCCTGTCTCCACCAAATTCTTACTTGGAGTATTCTTTGTTCCTAAAATTGTCATTTTCAACATTAAAGATTTACTTGCTTAACCTTTTAAAAATTAAAATATGCTTGATGTATTTTACTCGTCAAAAGGGTTAAAATACTTTATTTTCCATGGTAATTTTTGTACACAAGGTCATACTCGTTCTAAATTTCCAAAGATTTGACTAACCAAAATTTTAACCTGCGGGAATTTTGCAGCTCAATTTTGATTCACCTTCTGATTGACAACACCTCTTCACCAGCAAAATTCGTGTAAATTAATATTTCAATTAACCTAATTTTTGAAAATGTTTTACCTACCTAACACAACCCAGTGTACAAAAACTACTATTAAAACTAAAGAATGGAAACCCAGCGGTTTATTAACTTGCATAATTTTTCAAAATTGTACACCATTTAATAAGCGAATTGCTCACTTACTTAATTTCTAAATAATAAAAAAGCACGTGGAGAAGAATTAAAGTATTTTTCCTCGAGTGAAAGAAAAAAAAATAATAATAATAGTATTTATTATACTGATCTTATCATAATATGTGATACAAAAAAAACATATCATGTTATAAATTAGAGAAGGAGACTCTACCAACATTAGTTAATTTAAGTAAGCATCATACATGGTTTCGACAGTTTACAAACTCTCTAAGCCACTACTATTAGTTATACATAATGCTTAATAATACTTATAAATACACACTTACAACATGTTTTGTTCTCTCAGCGTTAAAATTGTTTCATATTTGCAACTAAATATAGTGCATTTTTCCCTGTATTCGGTATTAATTAATCTAATTAATGTGGGTAATGTCGAATTATAATATTTTACATTTTTAATTTACATATTTAAAAAATGCTCACTGCGTACATTAACATGCACATACATTACAAACATTTCAGTGAACTTCTACTTTTAAGTACACTCTTAGACAACTGGTATTGAATTTTTATGAATCATTACCGGACGGAGTACATATGTCACTCTACCGGCATCGGTAATATCGATCGTTACGGCGTAGTAATGAGTTGGTAATGAAATCTGTACCGCTCAGAATCAAACTATAACCAATCCAGTAATGAATTATTATCAAATCAATACTAACCCGGAGTACATATGTGACTCAACCGGATGCTTTACAGTGTATTTATTTACACGCAAACTGGATCCAAATGGATTATTTTTTGAAAAATTAAAAATTTGAAAGAGTGTATAATTTTAATGAATTTCAAAAACTGGCAAAAAAATTTGAAAGTCAAATTTCGAGACAATTGAATTTTCCATAAGTCAGGTCAGTCATTCTGAAGAGAAATGTTTTCGAATTTTTGGATTCGCGCTAAAATTCGAAAATTTACGGAATTTTTAAAAACCGCGGTTTTGGCTGAAAAATGTTTCAAAATTCGCGCCTCGCTCTCAAATTAGCACATTATGAAAAATTAAAAAATACGGGTATGCTTATTTTTTTTGTGGTGAACAAAATAAAATTGGTCCCAACCCGATCTGAGTTGTACACGTAAAAGACTTGCATTGTAAGTTTTTAGATAATTCATCTTTTTTATTGGTAACTGAACTCATAGCTCGCGTTAAATTGGTGCATGCACTCTTAGAAATGGGGTTACGATAATAACCAAAAAGTAAACGTATGTAACTCTACCGCCGTGGCTATGAATTTGTCAGCAACTGGTTATAAATTTATTAACTCTGGTGGCGATTTAATACCAAGTCGGTGAAACTTTATTAGTTGGTGACAATTGTAACCACTTGATGACAAATTTATAACCACGGCGGTAGAGTCACATACGTAACGTAACTGTACTGTACTGCATGTAGATTTATATTTTTACATAAAAAATACAAATCAAGAAATTTCAATCGTTTCAAAATCTAGATAATTTTTTCTAATCCTAAATTTACGAAGTTGCGACGAACAAACTTGATAATACAATAGTTCGTAATTTCTTTGAGCAAAGAAATCGACCCATCATTCGATTCATCACATTTCGACCCCAATTTGATATCGTTCAAATATTTGCAAAATATTCCAAATAATTCCAATGTAATCAAAATGTATGCTAAAAAATTGCGATTAATTTTGCTAATGTTGGACGCCAAATTGTATAATTTCATAACTTACGAAAGTTATATGATTTGTAGATGTTGTCTATTTTTGCCTCTAATTTAGCAATCCAATCAAAATTTTATTAATTCAAATTCAATTTTTTATTTTATAAAATTCTATAAAACGTAGGAAAAAAATATATTAAAAACATTTTTACATCCTTTTCAAACATTGAAAATACAAACAGTGAAGTTTCCTACACTCTTAATAATCCGATAAAGTCACGCAGGTAATGATTTCTAGGTAATAAATTTTGTAAGAATATTTTACCAGGTAATAAAAATTCGTTGCCATAATGGTAAAACTTTATTGTCAAGCCATTCCCCCACACGGCACAACTTATCATTACCACTTTGGTAGAGTCATACTTGTGATTTTCGGTAATGTTTATTACCAGATTATTTACAGTGTGGTGGTCCACTTTGGTCTACTTTAAATGGTCTACTTTAAACCCATGAAAATTAAAGCGGTTGATTTTCACAATGCAAAAAAAAATTATAATTAACTGATTAATTCCTAATTAGTGAATTCGTGAGTCGTGACCATTGTTTGAAGTTACCAAATTCCCAGTTTTTGCAGGGAAATTGAGTGTTTCGGGTGCAAGTAAGAAATGTGTAAGTTACATATTTCTTGTTAAGGAACTTATTTTTTGTATGGAAAACATCGAATTTGCACTACGCATGCTCAGATAAAGATAACAACCACAAACTGATCAAATACATGGTAAAAGCCAGCTAAATAAATAATAAAGATTTTTTTTAATTTCATACAAAATCTGAACAGATTATTTGCACGATTACGTATTTTTACACAGGCCATGCAGAAAGTATGGGGCAGAATTCGCAATCTAATTAAACGCTTGCAAAATAAAATGGCACGAAAACATTTCTGCATGATCCCTCCCTTCATCTCAATATCGCAAATGCATGAAAATTAAATCTAAACTAATCCAAATCATTTCATTTAAACGTATTAGAAATTGCAAATAATTCTAGGAAAACGAATTAAAATAGGATCAACTGTTTGCACAGATTTGTGAAATTTTGCAAAATCAAATTTTGCGAATTGCGTTACCAACATAAATTTTTCGAGCTTTGCAGGCTTGCTAAATGCGAAAATAAGACGTCGATGTTGTAAAAATTAAAATTGAAAATAATTCATGGAAATCAAATCAAAATAGAATCCTGAATTTGTGCAGATTTGCGAAATCTAATTTTGCGAATCGTGTCACGAACACATATTTTTCAAACTTCGTAGGTTTGTTAAACACGAAACACAAGTCGGTGACTACGCTCAGTGTACATTTTGTTCTTCAAAAATCAAAAAAAATATGGTGGTCGTAAAATCGTTCCCTCCGAAAAAATCCGTGCTAAATTTAAAATTAATCGTCGCATTAGGGTCGATCTTTTTAGTGGGTTTGGTTTCCGGGAAGGGTGAGGATTACTACACGTCGTTGGTGGGTTTGGGTCAGCTGGCGGTGCATGAACAGGTCATCCTCGAATCCGTTCTGGACTACAAGACCGCCCTCCTAAAGAGATTAGGACTTATCGAAAGGTAATGTTATTCGAAATTCAGACTTTTTCTGGGAAATTTTAAATCAATTTTGGCATCGCAACCATACCTGTTCAAAAATTGAGTTTTTATTCAAAATTAAGTCATCCCAATATCTGACTGACGATTTTCATTCATATTCAATCATTTTCTTTCAATTTCATTTCACTTCACTTCATCCGACTTCAGTTCTTACTTCGCTCAATTCATTAAGCATAGGGTGAAAAAATGAGTGAGAAATCACTTGATTCACAGTCACTCATCCGAAATTGCTGAATCTTTCAGCCATTTTCATTCAAATGAGGAGTATATCATTTTCATTCACTATCATAATCCTTCAAATGAATGAAAGTGAACAGGTATGATCGCAACATAACTTAAACATGTGACCATTACTATCCTTGGAGTTAGAAAATGATTTTTGATGCCAAAATTTTAGCGAGAATTAGCGAACTTACAAGCTTTCGAACTATTTTACAAAAATAGTAACAAGTAACTTAATTAATTGTTTAATAAAGTGATTCTAACTTTCGTAGGATTCAAAATGCTTCAGAATATAAATATTTCAAAATTTCAAAATAAATTTTAGGAGATCTCAACAGACACTTAAAATACTAAATGTAAATAACTATTTTTTCCTAACAGAACAAATTTTCAACCTTCCAGTATTACGATTAAACTGAGAAAACACCTTTGTTTAAGAAGTTTTACAGAAATAGTGCTCTTTTTTTAAAAATTTTCATTGAAAACCTTGATATAAATTTTGTTTAATTGACGCGATTTAAAATATGTATGCATATTTGGTTATTAAATATTCTGGTAATCTTTCAAAACTGTTTTATCATTCGAGTAAAATGATTTTATTTTGAACCACTTCAAAAAAATTATTTATTTAGTTGCTAAATATGATTATTAATTTCGTGTTGAATTTTTCAATAGGATTTTAAATTTCTTTTTCATAATGGTTATGTGAATTACGAGGAAATTAATTTATGATCTAAATAAAATTTTGGTAATTCAATTTTTTTTCCAGAAATTAAATTTTGACTTTAGACTAATGCAGTTCTACTGAGAAATATTTTAGTTTGAGTAGTTTTTCGGAAAAATTTTATTTTCTTCATAATTTTAATTGAAAATTTTAAAGCGGATTCTATTTAATTGGTATGATTTAAAATATGCATGCATGGATTTGTTCATTGTCTACCTTGATAATCATGCCATTTAGAACTGTTTTTATGACGAACTTTTTGAGCTATTTTGCAAAAAAAAAATCAAGGCGAGTTAATTATATAGTTGGTTAATTTGATTACTAATTTCGTTTTCAATTTTTTAATAAGGTTTCAAATTTTCTTTTTCTTAAGCGTTATGCACTGTAAATAAAGTTGAGTAAAATTGCCACCAAAGCAACTATTGAGTAAAATTTACCCTGACAAAGGTAAAATTTACTCAAGGTTGAGCAAAAATCTTTCAACCTTGAGGAAATTTTACCTTTCTCAGGGTAAATTTTACTCAATAGTTGCTTTGGTGGCAATTTTACTCAAAATTGAGTAAATTTTAATCAAATTTATTTAGAGTGTGTGAATAACGAAGAAATTAATTTAGGAAATAAATAAATTCAACCCGTACAAATCAAGTTTACACCTTAGTAAAGTATAGTAATTTAATTTTTTCCAGAAATTAAATTTTGACTTTAGACCTATGCAGTTCGACTGATTTTGAGAACTATTTTTGAGTAACTTATTCAAAAGTCAGAATAAAATATTCATTCAATATTAATTCAAATTTTGAATATTGAATGAATAATTTATTCATTCATCATTAAATGAATGAACGTGAATGGGTCGGTATAGGCAAAATTGCAACATCTCGTTTCTATGGTTTATTTAGTTGATACATAATTATTAATTTAATCTCCAATTTTGGTTACTAAAGGATTTCAAACTTTTTTCGTAAGAGTTAGTTGAATCGTGCAGAAATTGATTTAGGAAATAAATTGCATTCAATTTTATAATATTATGCTAAATGTCTGTTTAAATATACTTTTGCAATTGATTTTTGCAATTAACTTTTGCAATTAATTTTTCTGCAAAAAATTAATTTCTGGCTTTACGAGTCGCGTTTCGATTTGTAATTATTTTGGTTTCGAAAGTTTTTCATGCATGGTGTTCATTTTTGAAGGAATAATTTTGATTGGCAATTTTGACCAGAATTTTTTTAATTGACTCGATTTATGCATTCATATTTGGCCATTACAAATTTTGACAATTTTGTAAAACTATTTTATTCCAGTAATGATTAACTTTTGAACTATTTTAGTCACAAAAAATGGTGAAAATTTAATTATTTCGTTGGCAAGTTATTAATAATTTCGTCCTCAGTTAATTTTTAATACGATTTCAAACTTCTCTCCACAATAGTTATTTACATAACGTAGAAATTAATTTAGGAAATAAAAAAAAACCGGAATGGTGTCTTTGCCATCTCAAAATACTTTAGGTATTACTTCTCCAAAAAAATTTAACTATTGACTTTTAAGTGTTGCCATCAATTTAGAAATATTTCTGACAAGTTTTTCAGAAATTAGGGTTCTTTTTTAAAATTTCCTTAAAAATTTGTAATGGATTTCCTTTAATTGTATTCTTATTTGGTCCTTACATATTTTTATAATCTTGTAAAACTGTTTGTATGCGAGTAATGATAAACTTCTTAACTGCTTAACGAAATGTGGCCATTTAATTATTTAATTGTTAAATGGTTATTAATTTCGTCTTTCATATTACTTCTTTTAATAACATGGAAATTAATTTAGGACGATAAAAACTTGAACTTCCAATTGTGAAATACACGTGTGTGTATCTTAAAATTGTAAAATAATTTTGCACTTTTTCAGAAATAGTACTTATTTTTGAACAGCTTAATATGCATTTTCTTTAATTAACCACTTAACAAGAGAAATTTCATACGAATTTTTTGTGAAATATTTGTCCATATTTTTATAACCTTGTAAAACCGTTTTTTATACGACTAGTAATGAACTTTCGAACTGTTTCACAAAAAATGTGACAATTAAATAAATTATATAAATTATTATTAATTATTTTCTAAATACCTAGAATTTCTAAACCATTTAAATTTCTAATTTAAATTTCTCTTAGTTTAACGTACAAATTAATTTAGTAAATCAATAACCTTTAATTGTCCAAGAACCACGCTTCACCTGATTAAAATTATGAAATTCCTTTTCTCCTAAAATTGACTTTCAACTTTTGGGTATGGCAACTCAATTGTGAAATATGCGCGTTTTGAAGGTTTTCCTGAAATTATGATTTAATTTTAAACTTACACTTTACTATAAATTTTTTATTATTAATATAATTTAAAATTGGTATGCATATTTGATCATTAAAGACTTTGATATTTTGATAATCTTGTTTTTTACACGAGTAATAATGAACGTTCGACTTGTTTTACAAAAATAGAAACAATTTAATTATTTTGTTGTTAAATGCTTATTAATTTTGCCTTCAATTTCAATCTTTAATTATCGAGAAGTCCCTACCCCAATCATGATTGGGGACTAATGAGACACTTGAAACAATTATGAGACACTGAAAAATCTGGGTTTTCCATCAATTTTGTGATTTTCCAACTTTGTTTGGCATAAAATTTAAACAATTTTTAACAACATTTTAATTCATCACATTGATTTTATTATTTTACGATATTTTTTGCAGTGTATGTATTCGAGCCAAAAGTAAAAAAAAACATAGAATTTCCTAAAAATAATCGACTTTCGAAATTTCCAGATATTTGCAAGAATACGAATCCAGCCTGGTTTCCCCTCAGATGGAAAAGAATTACCCACAACTGCACAAATCCATCCGGAAGTCGAGGGCGCGTCACTGGGACAAAAAATGCGTCCCAACCTTCCAGGAACACGCGGAATTGACAGATTTGCAACGATACACGGTCAGCAATCCGATCGCCGCGTTCAGAATAATTCGCAGAATTGGCAAACAATTGGTCGAACTTTTAATGGATTTTGAAACGGAAATTGAAACAGGTTTAAAAAATTTGATTTTTCTGGTTTGCGACGAAGTAAAACCGAACTCTATGAAAAATTTACTTAAATATTTATGTGCATACTAAATTGATTTTTAACGGAAATTGAAGCAGGCAAACATCATAAAATTTGGAAAATTTTTCCTAAAGTTTTCGATTAATTTGATTTGTCAGATTTGCGAAAAAGAAATATGAAAATATGGAATTATGAAATTTTAAATTTTTTGTACAAATCTTATGAAAGATTTCCTAAACTATCGACTAAACCGATTTTTTTCTTACGGAAATTGAAACTGGTTAATTCCTTACGAGATTAATTGATATTGTATTTGTATACTTTCAAAAGGGTAAAAAAACTTGAGGCAAAACTATAAATTCGTAAAATTTCCAAATTGTAAAACTTCCGAGCCGATATTTGACCAAATGTATTAAATAATTTCTCTAAAATTACGAAAATCAGATTTGTTTCGAATTGGGACAGGAATTGGAAGTATTGAATTCTTTGCGACAATAATTTCTAACATATTAAAAATAGGTTAAGCAGCCTAAAAAAATAATGCAAATTATTAGGTAAAATTATTTGAAACATTTGGGAAACTTATTAATTAATTAAAGTCTTTTATTTTTTTAAATGTTTTTTATAGGATAAATTAACGAAATTTGAATATTCCCCAGATTTCGTGACCTTGATGGATGACATGTTTGACAAGATAAGAATTCCGAATTCGGAAGATGTCGATGGGGCGGTGGACGGGATTCTCCGAATTCAGTCGACCTACGGAATCTCCATCGACCAGGTAATTAAATCCAATTTTTACTCGTATTAGTCCGTCTGTCACTTCAAGTTTTTGCAAACCTTGTATAACCCCGTAAAATTTTTATGCAAATTCATACCTGTTCACTTTCATTCATGTGACTGATTATGATAGAGGAAGAAAATGAATTTCCCGTAATTCGAATGAAAATGAGTGAGATATTCCGTGATTTCAGATGAATGACTGTGAATGAAAGGATTTCTGACTCATTTCATTTTTCACCCCATGCTTAATACATGGGGCGAAGTAAAAAATGAAGTTTGATGATGTGAAATGAAATAAGTTTGAAAGAAGTGAGTGTGAATGAAAATCTTCAGTCAAAAACCGGGATGACTGAACTTTGAATGAGAAACGTTTTTTTGAACAGGTACATATGTGCAAATTTTGAATTTGAAATGGACGTAATTTAAGTATAAAAGGGAAATACATGCTCAAAACACATGCTCAAATTTTTGAAATATAATTTTTAAAAATTCATCTTCAACCGAACAACAATTCAAAAAACATCTTCCAAGTTCCTGAATTTGTATTCATTTTAATCTGCCTGTCACGTCAAGTTTTCGCAATAAAAAATGTAAACACGTTGTTTAAATTAAAAATAAAAAGTTAAAGCACGATTTCTGAATTAGAATTTTTAAAAATTAATTTAACCTTTTATCTCATCCATTATTCAACCTTGAAAGTTATTTAAAATAAATTAACATTTTTTTTTAATTTCGTTTTACGGCGGTGAAAAATAGCTAACAAGATTTTGCAGTTTATAATTTTTGTTTATCACTCTTAATAATCCCGTAAAGTCACGCAGGTAATGAATTCTCGGTAATAAATTTGGTAATAATATTTTACCAAGTAGTAAAATTTGTTACCATGATGCTAAAACTTTATTACCAAGCTATTACCACACGGTACAACTTATCATTACCACTTTGGAAGAGTCATATACTTGTGCTTTTCGGTAACAGATTATTTACATTGTAACGAAAGTTTGCAGTATAATTTGTTAGCAAATTTTAACCAATTTATATCAAGTAACTTGTCAGCTGCATCGTAAATTTATCTGTGGAAATTTGCAATTTTACAAAATTCGCACATTTTAAAAAGTTTGATTATGTAAATTTGATTATGAAAAGTTTAAAAATGTGTCTTCCCCTAATTAATCGGTATGGTAGCTTGCTACACTCAAAATAAGGTAGTAATGAATCATTACCATGCGGAATGACTATGTGGCTCTACCATGTCGATTACGATTTGTCGTAGAAATGGTAATAATAAGTTCAGGGAAATTCAAATTTAATACATAATGGTATTCACTTCCTTAATATTTGGTAATGAATTTGAATTTCCCTGAACTTATTATTACCATTTCTACGACAAATCGTAACCGACGTGGTAGAGCCACATAGTCATTCCGCATGGTAATGATTCATTACTACCTTATTTTGAGTGTAGGTGCCTCGTAAAATTATAACTATCCGTAACTTAACAAAGTTTACAAAATTAAACGTGAATATTTGTCCCCTATTTGATCTCTAGTTAATTTAGCTCCCTTATAAATTTTTAAAAATTTGTAACTTAAAAAAATTCACACAGTTTACAAAGTTTAACGTGCATATTATTTCGTCTAATTGATTTATAATTGTTTTAGCTGGCCAGTAAGTACACAGCAATTTGTAGAGTTTACAAAGTTTTCAAAAATTGAAATGTCAAAGTTTGACGTGAATATTTTTTTCCCCGAATTGCTTTCTCGTTTTGCAAGATATCTCACAAGTTTATACCAATTTGTAATTTAATAAAATTTACACACTTTACAAAGTTTAGCGTGAATATTATTTTTTCCCTCTAGTTTGTCTCTGGCAACTTTGGCGTCCCCGGAGTCGGCCTGACCTCCGCGTTCGACCAGCATTACGTTGGCGTCAAGGCGTCGGCGATGGGTTTTTATGCCGTCGGCCTCCAATGGTTGGACACCGCGAGGAAAACCCTTCTCCAAAATTATGACCCCGCCGACGAGACCTCACTCACACTAAATATGGCCGAAGAAGTCCTCTTAACCACTGTGCGAAAGGTATTTCAAAATATTTTGACACCTTTTTTATCCCTTTTTTCCAAACCCAGCCCTTTTGCATACCTGTTCGAAAAATATTTATTCATTCAAACTTCATAAACAGTGTTACAAAATATTTTGACACCTTTTTTACTCACATTTCTTTTCGTGCTTCGAGTGCAACTACCCCGTGTAAAAAATAACGGGATAATCAGCATACTTTTGTGTTTAGAATTGTCAAACAATGTAAAACAAATTAGAATTAAAACCTTTAAAGTAAAAAGGCCTATGGTTTTTTAGAAACTTAAGAAAGAAATATAGGGAAAAAATTGATTTTGCTACAAATCGACCAGGGTTCGGAAAAACCCAGGGTTTTAATCAAAAAGTAACGACCCAGGGGTTTTAATGGGTTTTATTGGGTTTTATGGGTTTTATTGGGTTTTATTAGGCTTTACATAAGTAATACACTGAACAAGAAATTTTCACAACATTGCGATCCAATTCTAGTTATATGCAAATCCTCGTGGTCCAAGTTAGAATTTGTATCCGTTGTGAAGGGATCCTATTTAACTGATCATAGTTTAATACTTATGCGACCATAAGTATTACCTTTTTACGGAATACTTCCTCTCATTATAATGAAATCCAAGTTGTTTAAATGTTTTTTAAAATTTATTGTTTCAAAGAGTGTTTCAAAACGATCTTAATGTGCAGTATCAGTTCTGGAAAGAATCAAGTACTTATGAACAACGGAATTGAACGGAATCACGTATTATGGTCGAAAGTATAATAAGTGCTTTTTACAGATATACATCTTTTGCTCATCATAAAGTATTTCGCTGTCCACAAGTACTCGATTTTTCCAGAGGTGATAATTAAGATCGCTTTGAAATTTTAAATTTTAAAAAACTTTGCAAATTTAAACAAAATACTATAATATTTTTTTTAATTGATTCGTACCAGTGAAATAGTGTATTGACTCGATACTATCGAGAAAAGAAGAAGTATTTGGGAAAAACGTATTAATTATGGTCGCAAAAAGTATTAAATTATGTATGACCAGTTACACATTCTCCTTTCCGAAATTAATTTTTTGTATCACTTGAAACCTATGGTGGTAAGGGGAGGTATGCATTTGCTGATTTATTCCTGGTTTTCAAAACTTATGGTACTAATAAACTAAACTGTTTAGCTGCCGTCAAATACCTTCGTCTAACGTATAACAGATGTGCTCAACTTTTAGAATATAGTTATAATCTAAAACACAGTTAAAACCCATTAAAACCCTAATAAAACCCATTAATACCCAAATAAAACCCATTAAAACCCAAATAAAACCCATTTAACATGGTAAAACCCGTTGGGTTTTATTCATTAACAACCCATTAAAACCCATTAAAACCCAAAAAACCCAACCCATTAAAACCCTGGGTCGGAATACCCTGAAATCGACGGAAAGGAAACCTTGACCTGTTTTAATAAAAATATAGTTATCAATTTGTTACAATATTTAAAACAAAAATTCCTACAATCTAAAAGTACAAACAAATAGTTTTGCAGATTTCCATCGTAAAATCACATAGAAAATTTTAGCATAGTTTTATCTGTTTCCTGAAAAATAGGAATAGTCATAAAAGCAAAATAAAAATCGTCAAAAAATCGAATGAATTTTAAGAAATGCGACACATCCATATTTTTTAAAAGACATATTGGCAAACAATGTTTTTTTTTAATTAGCATCCCCACATTTATGTATTTAGAATTTTCAAAAAGTTTAGAAGTGAAGCCTTCCAAGCTAATTAATAAAGCAAAAAATTTACCAAAATATTAATGTGCAAGATCCTAACGTCGAAATAAATTACAGGGAAATATTATTTGTAAACTACATATCTTCTACATATCTATCAGATTTGATAACCTGGTTTACCAAGTAAATAAAGTTCATAAATAACAAATTACACCTCTTGATTGAAAAGTCAATTATTAGAAAGCCGCATAAGTAGTAGACCTATTTCACTCCAAACTACAGATCTGTTTTTTAATTACAAATCTACTCACAATGCGATTGTGTAAAGTGTAACCCTCCGACTTGGTTGAAATTTTGAAATTACGTGGTCCATGTCAATACAACCCACGTTTCTTGAGGCAGTTTGTGCGATGGTCAAAATTTGCCAAATTATTGGAGGAAAAAGTGAAAAAAATATGCAATTTTTTTTCACGGGAAGAGAATGAAAGTTGAGTTTGCTTCCTCCGCCTGCTAAAAATCGCCCATTTTTAAACTTTGACTTCAAATATTTTACATCTGACCATCGCACAAACTGCCTGAAGAAACGTTGGTTGTGTTGACATGGACCACATAATTTCAAAATTTCAACCAAATCGGAGGGTTACACTTCAAACCATCGCATTGTGTGTCCAAATTTTTGGTGAAAACAGAAATCACAATTCGCGAATAAATCATGGGGTGTGAAAATTACAGAAATCATTGTCCTTTATCTAATGAAATCGTGCCAAATTAATTTTTGCACAAATATTGTTTCGTCTGCAAAATGTTGCGTCGTTTGCTTTACATTAAAACAAAAATTTGCCTAATTTTGCAAAATGTATTGCGGTGCATGGAAGTAAACGGGACAGAATTTCTACGCGCCAAAATCACGTGCCCACTTGATTAACATTGGAGGCGGGCTGAAATTCAAATCAAATCTGTCCCGTTTACTTCGAGAATTCACAATAGCACATCAGAGGTTCCGAATCTAATAGTATGAAATTCTCAGATGACAAAATAAATTTCATTCCTATGAACCATACCTTTTCACTTTCATTCATGTGAATGATTATGATGGTGAATGGAAATGAATTTCCTGTGATTTGAATGAAAATGAGTGAAAAAGTCAGTCATTTCAAATGAGTGACTGTGAATGAAAGAATTTTCATTCCTTTCATTTATCACCCTATGCCTAATACATACATGGGGCGAAATAAGAAATGAAGTTAGATGAAGTGAAATGAAATTAATTTGAACAAAAATGACTGAGTGTGAATGAAAATCTTCAGTCAGAAATCGGGATGAATGAATTTTGAATGAAAAAGCTTTATTTGCACAGGTATGATATTAACGCCAAATTATAAAATAAAGATAAATTATTGCATCAAAATACTAATAATAGGTTATTCGTTCTTGTTGCTGGCTTTTTAGCAAGCTCAAAGTAAGATTTCAAGAGAGATTTCGTCTCACATCGTTAAAACATTTACAAAATACACCCTCCAAAATTTTTGACATAATTGTTACCGGCGGAGATACTATGCAATTCTATTCTACCACGTGGTAACACTAATAAATTGTCTTTTGATGGTAAGAAATTTCCTCCGGTATCGGTAATATTTGTATTACCTGAGCGTTGACATTCGGGGCTGAGCAGGATTTAGCCTCTGTATATATGTTACCCTTCGGTGATAAATTGTTACCCAAGCGGTAGAATTGCTTAGTACCTCCGCCGGTGACAATATCATCAAAAAATTATTGAGAGTGTGTATTCATTTTTTAAGAAAAATATGTAAGAGATTTATTATTTTCTAAATAATATATAGCGGAAATATTTCTAAATACACTGTTAAAAATAGGGTTACGATTATAACCAAAAAGTAAATGCATGTGACTCTACCGCCGTGATTTTATAAATTTGTCATCGAGTGGTTGCAATTGTCACCGACTAATTATGAAGCTTCACCGGCTTGGTATTAAATTGTCACCAGAGCTAATAAATTTATAACCAGTTGATGGCAAATTTATAACCACGGCGGTAGAGTCACATACGTTTCCTTTTTGGTTATAATCGTAACCCCATTTCTAAGAGTGTACTTGCATATGTTAATACCTAGAAATATGTGAAAATATGCATTAACTTATTTTAATTGTAAAAATATGTGAAATATGAAAATATTATTTAAGTATTCTGAAATTTCTGTTTTCAAAGGGTTGATCGTCATGAAACAAAAAATTTGGAAATAACCCCTCTCTGATCGCGTTAGCAGTAAAAATCGTGATAAAATTTCTATTTTTTACAATTTTTTTTAGCACAACGAAGGGATGACATCGAAGGAAGATGCGATGAACAAATACGCCTATTTCTCACACCCTTTGAGCCCCAATGTTTCCACGTTAATCGTCCCGCGCCATAATTTGTATTATGTTCCGGACAACTTGGTCGTTGGGAGGGAAACCGAGAGTTTTATGGATGCCTGGAACTATCAGGCAATTTGCGGCGGGAAAAACCTTTTGGTGAGGGAATAGAAAAATTTATAAGAATTTCAACTTAAATTCTCCCCAAAGTTCAAAATATTTCGATTTAAATTATCCTTTAAGTTTAAAATATTTCAATTTAGATTCTCACAAAAATTAAAAATATTTCTATTTAAATTCACCCCAAAGTTCAAAATATTTTAGTCTAAATTCCTCCAAAATTCAAAATATTCCAATTTAAATTCGCCAAAAAATTCAAAATATTTCAATTTAAATTCACCCCGAAATTCAAAACATTTTAGTCTAAATTCCTCCAAAATTCAAAATATTTTAATTTAGATTCTCACAAAAATTCAAAATATTCCAATTTAAATTCACCCTAACATTCACAATATTTAAATTAAAATTCCTCCAAAAATTAAAAAAAATCCAATCCATCCATAAATTCAAAATATTTAAATTTAAATTCCCCAAAAAATTCAAAATATTTCAATTTTAATTCCCCCCCCCCTCCAAAAAAATGCACAATATTTCGCTCCTTACAGCCTCTCGAAATTCGTCGCCAGCTCTTCTGCTACTACAAATCCGACACTCCTCTCACCTTCCTGTCCCCCGTGGGGGTCGAGGTGCACTCAATTAAACCAAAAATCCTCCAATTTTACGACATTGTTCGAAACACCACGATCCACCATATTTTAACTCGAAATGCCGCCACGCTTTCCCGCGGCCGAGTTTTAGGCTCGCCTGACGACAGAGATGTGAAGAGTGACGTGAGAACTTCCCAAGTCACGTGGCTTTACGACGAACCCACAGATGAGAAAGTTAAGTACGTTAATTTTTAATATTTTAGATGCAACAGAAAATTCGTTGTGGAATATTGCAAAATTTTATGTGCAAAATTTAATATGCGAATTTTGCAAAATACTAATGATAATGCTAGATTGAACTTCGAAGCTTATTTCGAGTTACTTAAATGCAATTTTTAAATAAGCCGTCTTAACGTATACAAAATTTTTGTTTAATTTGAATTTGCAAAAAGTTAATTGTGTTAATTAAAAAGACCTTTACTAAAATTAAGAAAATGGCTTAAAATAATTACAAAAATGCAATCTTCGACTTGCAAATTTTAACTTTCGCGAATTGCGTACAATACTGTTGATAAAACGAGATTAGCTTCCAAGCTTATTTAGCAAACTGTCTAAACGTGTACGAAATTTTTCTTTAATTTGAAAATCATAAATTAAGAATTTGTAAAATTTACGAACTTTGCGACGCTAACAAACTCGCAAGAAACTTTCTATGTCCTTGGACCCTATCTAAAAGTTAAGAAATTAGTTTTGAAATATTTTCAAAATTGCAACCTTTGGCGTCAAACCTTTTCAAAATTTTATTTTAAATTTTATTTTCTCAAATTTTAGGAATACAATTTTTGGCAGGCTTTGCAAATTTTAAAGTTAATCCAATTTTATGCTACAAATTATTGATTAATTCGATCAATTAAATTCCATTTTGTTAGGAGAATCCCTGCAATAATTGGAGATCTGACGGGATTGAACGCCCAGGCGGGATCCAACGCGGAGGAATTGCAACTTTCCAGCTATGGCGCAATCGGGGGACATTACCAACAACATTTTGACCTCCTGTTTAACGAGGCGGTTAGAAAAAACAAATTTACATATTGGACCCTGAAAAAAATACGTCACCGATTTGAAACACGTTCTGGGGTCATAAACAGAGGGCGGATATGTATTTATTTTCAGTTTTTTTTAAATTTGTTGACCTCCGACGATCGAACTTTGTCTCTTAACTTTTATAGGTTACGAAAATTTTAAAATATTTTTACATAATTTCCAGGTTTTAAGACATAAACATGTCCGGTATTATCTGAAAAACATTTAAATCTTTTTCATACCTAACAAAAAATCATATATTTTGTAAATATTTCAACGATATAAGACACTTTTTCTTGCTAATTGGACCCATAAACTCAAGAGTATGAATTTCAAAAGTACGAATTTTTTAAAAATTCTACATATATACGTGACATATATGTTTCACAAATTTTTCTTAAATACATATCCGCCCTCTGTTCAATTTATGGCATGGAGATCATTTCAGTGGTCAAAATAAAATACCCTTCAAATCGATCCATCTACATATTTGCAGAGTTCCCCAAATTAATAAATTTTTACAAAAATATTTTTTTTTAATTTCAGCATCTGCCATTTATCCCAGAAAAAGAATTAATTCGGGGCGACAGAATTGCAACGGTCATGTTTTACGTAAGAATTTCCACTGTAAAAAATTTGGTAACAACTTTTTTGTGACTACAGACCGGTAAAAAACTTGTCATTTCAAAATAGTGATTGCTAATTTTATTATCAACTAATGAAATGAAATTTAACGGAACAAAGGTTTTACCAAATCGATACCATTTGAGTTTCCGTATAGCCTGGAATTTCAAATTTATTACCGAGTTTGAAATTTATTTATGAAGAAAATACGGTTTCCTTAGTTCTCCAACGTGACGATGGGTGGCGGGACAGCGTTTCCTCGCGTCGGCGTGGCTACTCCGGCGGTCCGAGGATCGGCCGCATTTTGGTATAACCTCAAGAGAAATGGGCAGCCTGACCCGTTATCGTTGCATGGCGGATGTCCCGTCGGTCAGGGGATCAAATGGGGTAAGTATTTTTATCAATTTTGATCAAAATTTGAACAAACCTGTTCGCCATCATTCATTATGACTAATTATGATGGTGAATGAAAACGAATTTCCTGTGATTTGAATGAAAATGAGTGAAAGATTCAGTCATATCAGATGAATGACTGTTAATGAAAGGATTTCTCACTTATTTCATCTTCACCCTATGTTTAATACATGGGCGAAGTAAGAAATGAAGTCAGATGAAGTGAAGTGAAATGAAATGAGTTTGAAAGCAAATGACTGAATGTGAATGAAGTCTTCAGTCAGAAACCGGGACGACTGAACTTTGAATGAAAAAAAGTTTTTCTGAACAGGCATGAATTTGAAAGAAATATGATTATTTTTACAAGTCTCTCATATTTTCCCTCAAAACTGATGTATCTAATATTCACTTTTGAACTGTTTACTCATAAAATTTTGGTTTCCAACGTTAAATAATTACAAACTTTAAAAACTACAGAGGAATCAAATTTGGTTTGTGCTTATTTTATCACTTTTGGTCAAAATATGAAAGAACAAATAAATTGTTTTGGAAATTTGGACAAGTTTATGAAATTTGATTCAATTTCTGATGATACTTAAGGACTGTTTATTCATAAAATTTTGCTTTCCAATGTTAAAAAATTACAAGTTAAAAAAACTATGACAGGTTTATTTTAAAATATGGACTGTACATAATTTATCAGTTTGTATGAATTTATCAATTTTATTTCAATTTAAAGGTCAATTTGTTATTCTTTAATTTGAACAAGTTTCCGAAGTTTCATTCCATTTACGATCTGATAATTACTTTAAGGATTGTTTATTCATAAAATTTTGTTTTCCAACGTAAAAGAATTACGAACCATAAAAAACTACAGCGTTAAATCGGGTTTATGCTTATTTTATCAATTTTGATTAAAATTTGAAAGACACTAATTATTTGTTTTCAAATTTGACAAGTTTCTGAAATTTGATTCCATTTTGGATCTGATAATTATATAGTTTAAGGACAGTTTATTCATAAAATTTTATTTTCCAACGTTAAACCTTTGGATAAATAGAGTATCAAATGGGATATACTCATAATGTATCGATTTTGATTAAAATTTAATAGAAAAAAAACTATTATTTTTTCTAATTTGAACAAGTTTCTGAAATTTAGTTCTGGATCGAATATGATAATTACTACATACAAGTAGTCCTTTTTAATAAAATTTTGTTTCCAGCATTATTGAATTACAAGATTTTTATTAGACCGTCAAATTAGAGTTGTACACAATTTATCAATTTTGTGGGGTTTCTCGCCACGGTGGGCCATCAGGTGACGCCTAAATCCATGGCGACTGGAGAAAGTGGTCCCACACTCATGGCAAACTAAGGGCCCCGTGCTCCCGGATCCGGTGGGCGTTCAGTCGGTTCCGATACGCAAACTTTTCTCCACACGTGTCGCACGTGACCGCCTTGGATTTGGATGTCTCATGTTTCCCCTTCACGTGACGCCGCAGGTATTCGAGGAGCCGGAAGCTCCTCCCACAGAGGTGGCAGATGTGGCACATGTTGATCAGGGCTGCAGGCCATCTATCTTATAAGCTGGAAATGTTTGTTGGCAACGGAAGTGAAAGTAGTTTGTCCTTTTTGTCCTAATTTGGAAGTGAAAGTGGAGTAAGTTAAGTTTTGAATGGCGCGAAAATTCAAAACAAATTAAAAATTCAAAAATTAGGAGTCAGATGTTAGTTATCTAGGAGCGGTTGTCTGATGGTGCTTATCTGAGAGTGGTTGTCTGATAGTGCTTATCTGGGAGAGGTTGTGTGATGGTGTTTATCTGGGAGTGGTTGTCTGATGGTGCTTATCTGGGAGTGGTTGTCTGATGGTGCTTATCTGGGAGCGGTTGTCTGATGGTGCTTATCTGGGAGTAGTTGTCTGATGGTGCTTATCTGAGAGTGGTTGTCTGATGGTGCTCATCTGGGAGTGGTTGTCTGATGGTGCTTATCTGGGAGTGGTTGTCTGATGGTGCTTATCTGGGAGTGGTTGTCTGATGGTGCTTATCTGGGAGTGGCTGTCTGATGGTGCTTATCTGGGAGTGGTTGTGTGATGGTGCTTATCTGGGAGTGGTTGTCTGATGGTGCTTATCTGGGAGTGGTTGTCTGATGGTGCTTATCTGGGAGTGGTTGTCTGATGGTGCTTATCTGGGAGTGGCTGTCTAATAGTAGCTATGCTGGGTGATTATTTCACTGCGAAGTGAAGTTGAAATTAGTTAGATTTGTCACTCCACTGCGGAGTGGAGTGGAAGTGGAGTGGGGGTCAGACGGAGTACTCGAAATTTGTCACTCCACTGCGGAGCGGAGCGGAGTGGAAGTGGAGTTGGAGTCAGACACGAGTACTCAGAATTTTTCACTCCACTGCGGGGTGGAGTGGAAGTGGAGTGGGAGTCAGACACGAGTACTCAGAATTTTTGACTCCACTGCGGGGTGGAGTGGAAGTGGAGTGGGAGTCAGACACGATAACTCAGAATTTTTCACTCCACTGCGGAGTGGAGTGGGAGTGGAGTGGGAGTCAGACACGAGTACTCAGAATTTTTGACTCCACTGCGGGGTGGAGTGGAAGTGGAGTGGGAGTCAGACACGAGTACTCAGAATTTTTGACTCCACTGCGGGGTGGAGTGGAAGTGGAGTGGGAGTCAGACACGAGTACTCAGAATTTTTGACTCCACTGCGGGGTGGAGTGGAAGTGGAGTGGGAGTCAGACACGAGTACTCAGAATTTTTGACTCCACTGCGGGGTGGAGTGGAAGTGGAGTGGGAGTCAGACACGAGTACTCAGAATTTTTGACTCCACTTCGGGGTGGAGTGGAAGTGGAGTGGGAGTCAGACACGAGTACTCAGAATTTTTGACTCCACTGCGGGGTGGAGTGGAAGTGGAGTGGGAGTCAGACACGAGTACTCAGAATTTTTCACTCCACTGCGGAGTGGAGTGGGAGTGGAGTGGGAGCGAGTCGCGAGCAAACAAAAGTTGTCACTCTACTGCGGAGTGGAGTGGAGTAGGAAAGAGTCATGAGCATACAAAAATTGTCGGAGAAAGTTCGACTGAGGAGGACAACCCTTCACCGACAGAATCACAGATCTTGATGCCCTTTGGATATGTTGTAGTCCTAGGTGAGTCTAGCAAAAGTGAAGAAGGATTTCATTCAATGGCCCCATTTGCGCCCGCCACACCCACTCAAAGGTGTGAAAAACACGAAAAATACCCTGTTTTCGTTCATTCAAAAAATCACCAAAAATCCAATTTTGATCGGATTTTCATAATTTAAGTGTGATCTTTGTGATTGTGTGTGTCTGATTTTTGTGATCCTAGATAGTTTCTTTATCATATCCAATAGCTAACTCAATTTTTTTGAAATTTTGATTTTTTCGAAGGCATACCCCTGGTCAGGAAATTTTCGAAAATACTCAAAAAATTAAAAAAAATTGAGTTAGCTATTGGATATGATAAAGCAACTATCTAAGATCACAAAAACGCTTAAATTATGAAAATCCGATAAAAATAGGATTTTTGGTGATTTTTTGAATGAACGAAAACAGGGTCTTTCTCGTGTTTTTCACACCTTTGAGTGGGTGTGGCGGGCGCAAATGGGGCCATTGAATGAAATCCTTCTTCACTTTTGCTAGACTCACCTAGGACTACAACATATCCAAAGGGCATCGAAATCGGTGATTCTGTCGGTGAAGGGTTGTCCTCCTGAGGCCCATTTACGCTAATTGAGTACGATACGGCATCGTAGTTCATAGTTTGAAGGCGGAGGTTTGGGGTTTTACTTTAATGCAATTGCATCTCCAATTTAATTTAAGAAACACCGCGAACGAAAAACACATAGGGAAATATTATGACGAAGGTGCTAGCCAGCCAGGATATTATTTACTTTACTACGACATGATACTATACTCAGTGAGTCGACATTGACCTCACTTCTACTTCACATCGCAGCGAAATGGTCAAGATAACCATAACCTTTAATGTGCTACCGCCGTTGGCCTGGCTGTCTCTATTAATGAGTAGTCTGGTCACCCCACATACAGATAGTACATACAATAACATAACTACCATCATTTTTTGAAATTAATTTGTTTTTATTTTCGCGCCATTCGAAACTTGACTTTCTTTACTCTCGCTTTCGTTGCGGAAAATTTGCTTTTAATTCCGTTGCTAACAGACATTACCAGCTCATAATTTTCGCTCGCCCGGCGGGAGACGGGCTTATACGCTAGTATATCAATAAATAAATAAAAAAAATATATAAATAATAAAATTTATCAATTTTAGTTAAAATTTGAAAGAAAATGTTTTTTTAAAAAAAATTGGACAAGTTTCTGAATTTGATTTTTGGCTTGCTTGAATCTGATAATTACTTTATTTATTCTTTCTCCTTAAAATTTTTTTTGATAGGATTCTGTGATATTTTCAGAAACTAGGGGACCAAATGGGGTATACTATGTTAAAATTTTCAAAAATTCGTATTTTTTAAAAGTTTGACAATTTTCTGAAATTTACGCTCGTTCCAGATCACTGATTCGAAATGTATCTAATTATTACGTTAAGTATTCTTTATTCCTTAAATTTCCGATTTCAACGTGAAAGATTTACAATTTTAATTTTATTTTCAATTCAATTTAATGGTCACAAATTTTTAAAAGCTTGAGCATCAAATTCGATATTTACATTGATTGATTTATTGATACTAATCTTCCCTCGGGCCATGATCCCATTTAAGATATAAACATTACAATTTTTATTCCATTACAAAGCAGAGATTGAGTAAGGGGTGGCAGATCTTCCAGTCTGTTGATTTTTAAATTCTGGCACTCCCAACACAATTAAATTTCTGCTGCGCCTCTCTCCTGCTAAAGCTTTAATAGCAATTTTAACACCTCTCAATTGTAATTCGTGATTTCTTCCCAGCTCACCAATATCTTTGGTGAGCTGGTCAAAACGTTCGTCAAATTTCTTGCACAACATATCTAACTTGATGCGAGCTGTTCC